AATAATGTAAACACAAATGATGAGTGTTGCTCCGGTAAAAATTGATGACAGAACTCTCAGGAGACGAAGTCTGTGCACATGCATGTGTAGAGTATAAGAGGGCTAAGTTCCCATCGTCCGTAGGAAGAAGTCTGTCTAAAACTGAAAATTCAAGAGAGCAATGTAAGTATGTTACTTAGAAACGTAAATGCAGCAGAAAAGGCTAAAAGTCCAGTCACGTCCTTTGTGTTGGGGAAAGGTTCAGCCCTCCCAGAGTGTTTGGACGCTGAGCCTTCAGAAACCGCGTGTCCCAGCATTTTCCCAAACGGGGATGTCCAGGTCCTCTGCCACGCCAGGAGGAATACCAGTTTCCTGGTCAGAGACATTTTGGAAGATGCCAGCGGCGGGCACAGCACAACACAGCGCAGGACTTGTTTTTACCACAGGACCATTTCTTAATCGGCACCCTTTGGGACAGTTTACCCTTCAGCGTTTCTTGAGGAAAAACTTGGAGGTTGATTCTAGCCAGACTGGCATGGAGGTTCCAGCATATGTGGGCCTCTGTGCCGTGCCATCCCAGTGACCCAAAACCCGAAACACCTGCTGGGGATGCAGGCCAATTCCCGGAATGTCCCCTTTCCCGTGGCCTAAATCCTACTCCCTGGGTTTATCTATCGGTGTTTCCGAGCAGTTACTGGAGGGAGTTTGAGGTGGTTATCGAGCCAGGAGCAAGGAGTGGGACTGGGGGGACCAACAGGCTCCAGAACTGGCTCCCCCCTTGCAGACTCTGCCCCAGCTCCATCCCATTCACAGACGCTTGCTCTGCCAGAGCCCAGGCAGACTTCTGCAAAAACGTCCCCCAAATAAAACTGACAGGTCACCCTCAGGATGTGTGAGAGAGGGCCTGGCTGGGAAATTAGTGATGTGCAGCCGCTGGGCTCAAGGGGGTCTCACAGATGTGGGCGATGAAGCTGTTTACGAATGAGATGCTCCCCAAATGGGAACTTGTGTTCTCAGACGACAGATGATAAAACGCCTTGCTGGGTTCACTGGCTCGAGAGGCCAGACTGGGCAGGTGGTTCCTGCAGGAGAGGCTCCTTTTCCATCTCCAGGTATCCCCATCCCGCCCTCCTCCTGGGGGTGAGAAGAGCCTGAGCTGTGTGGGGGACTGTGGACTCAATGCTGGGGGGCCAGGGCTTTGACAGCAGGAGGGCCACAGGGTCAGATGTGAGAATCAGCCACCTCCAGGGGCTTTGGAGTCCAGAGGCCTAGGCCCACCAGGCAACAGGAGGAGGGTCCCAGACTAAAGGAGAGGGATCTGCTCAGTGCGACACGTCACCCAAAGGGGCTGTGACCAGGACACATGCCTTTCGAGCCCCACCAAGGGCATCATTCCAGGTACTGGGGATACAGCGGTGAGCAAAAATGCTTTGGGGAAGCAGAGAATGAAACAAGGGAAGTACGAAGAATATTACATGAGGATAAATATTTGATACAAAATAAACAATGCCGAGTAAAGTGCAGGACCTGTGGGACTTTCTCTGAGATGGGGACCATCGAGGGTTTAAGCTGTGGAGGGACACGGTCTACCTTGAGTTTTAAAGAGAACAGCTGGGGAGGGAGAAAACTGGAAGCCAGGGACAAGGCTACTTGATAACCCAGGCGATCAGTGGCGGGGGCACACAGCGCAGGTAGCAGGGGAGGTGGTGAGAAGAGTCAGGTTCTGGACTTAATTTGAAGGTAGAGGTGACAGGAGTTGACAGACTGGATGTGCGTGAGAGAAGAGTCATGGGTG